GGTTTGGGGGGGGGGGGGGCGTTCCTAAACCCTAAACCCTAAACCCTGCACCAGGAACCTTCTTAGCCTGAGATCCTCATGTCGGACGCTGTGAAACCGTAGCCCCGGCAGAGAAACGTAAACGATGTGATGAAACAAGCCCTGCTGGACCCTCGCTGTCTACAAGCCGTCGCCGAGAGCTCAACCCCAAGCTCCTGAGAAGTCTGACGATAGGGTTTTCAGGGAAGTTTAGGGACTTCTTGTCTGAGTTGCTATACCATGATAGACTAGATAAATATTCTTGCCTAATTTCTCAAGCCCCGGAACCTAGACCCTAAACCCTAAACCCTACACCCCTAAACCCTAAACCCTAAACCCTATTTCTCAGACTCGCCCACAACCTAAGCCTGCCTTCGGAGGGGGTCCCGGAGGTCGCATGCCAGGCCCCGGACCAGCCTGCGTGGAGGAAAAATAGTACTAGGGTTTAGGGTTTAGGGTCTAGGGGTTTAGGGGTTTAGGGTTTTAGGGTTTAGGGGTGTAGGGTTTAGGGCTTTAGGGGTTTAGGGTTTAGGGGTTTGGGGTTTTGACGTTTTTGAGTTTCGACCTCCTCTCGTGTGAAGACCTTAAAGTTTAGGATTTGCTTTTCTGACTGCTTTATATTATATGCTTGGATGTAGAGCTTCAATAGTCTGACCTTATGAGGACTGCATGCACAAGCGAATGTTCGTTCGCGTCACGGTCAAGACTGCCTTTCAAGATCCGAATGCAAGCCTTGGCTCTTAAGGCTTAAGCATTTGGGTCGTAGAAGCGAAAAGGTTTAGAAATTATATGGCTTGGGGATGAAGGTCATGGTTTAACAGCTCTGAATCTTCTTGAAGTGTGAGCCGGCATGCGGTAGGTAGGACAAAAGTTTTATCTGTGACTATAAGTGTGGGTAGTAGGCAGGGTTTGACTACGTCTATGTCTCTGCCATGTAGATGCAAAGGAAATCTAGCCGAAAAGAACACCGGGCACCCCAGACTCTAGAACCCTAGAGCCCTATGAACCCAAAAGCCTAATCCAAGCTACACCCGACAGCTGCGCACCCTGAGCTCAAAGCACTGTAAAGAGGCTTTAGCCTTCAGCATCCACCCTGGCGAACCCACACAAACAGCAAAGCATCCGAGCCGGAAGTCTTTTGTTTGGCTTTGGGATTCTACCTGAAGACACGCCTGTGGCTTCAGATTCACTCCTACCTTAACGCACAAGCAACAAAACCTTGATAGTTGAGGGAAGAATGCCCTCTTCCCGCTCTTAAGCACAATCGCCCGAGATCGCCTGACTCGGGTTCTTGGGCGGAGGACCCGGTGGTGTGCCTGCCACCTCCACTGCGGGAGGCGCCAACAGCGGAAAATGACTTCGCATGTATGTGCATGTACATAGCCCACCTGCATATATACAAATGTGTGTATATATATATATATGTGTATACATGTACCTATATATAAATTATAACTATGCATGTATACACAGACATGTTAATATGTGTGTATATCTATAATGTGTACACACACACACATAGAATGATTCGCTGAAGGTCTCGCCAAAGAGCTCAACCACCTCTGCTCTGCACAGCCGCCGCATGGAGCCCCGCGGTGAGCGGCCCCAGTACAAGATAGGCGCGCCAAGGCCCCCAAACCCTCTTATCAGCAAGTGCTAAACCGTAAACCCTACCCCCTAAAAGTCCGTTACACAAAAGCTGAAAACCCAATGCTTGCCATGCTAGGCCCCACAAGGCGTACCTTCTGGAGCCCTGCGTTCGGAGGCCCAGGTGGCCGCTGCTTCATCATGGCCTGTCTCTGCTTAAAGGGGCTTACAGGGGTCAGGGTTTAGCGGTTTAGGGGTTTAGGGGTTTAGGGTTTCAGGGTTCAGGGTTCAGGGTTTAGGGTTTAGGGTTTAGGGGTTTAGGGGTTAAGGGTTCAGGGTTCAGNNGGTTGAGGGTTTAGGGTTCAGGCGGCTTCGGATCACTGGCCGACGGAAGAACATAGCAGAAGTCCCGAAATTGGACACACGTCCAAAGCCCTAGGTCCAAAACCTGCGGGGGACGCGAAAGCCCCAGCCCCCTCATTTCACTCGCCCAGACTTCGAAGCCACAAGGTCAGGCTTGGTATTGATGCCATGTGTGCATTTAGTCGCCGATGCCAGTCACTGCGAATCTTGCTGCTGCTGCCCTCCTACCTGTACCACCACCGCTGCCACCGTCCCTTCTTACGTATGATATGCCTTTGTCATGGCTAGCTATATCAACATGTTCACCAGCCCCCCAAGCCGTCCTTCTGCCGTCCACCTTAAACCCTAAACCCTAAACCCTGAAACCTAAACCCTAAACCCTGAACCCTGAACCCTAAACCCTAAACTCTGAACCCTAAACCCTCAACCCTAAACCCTGAACCCTAAAGATTGATCCAGAGATCT